ACGTTCGGTGGACCTCGAAGCTCTAACTCCTCACCGCCAACGTTTATCTATCTGTCTCTGTATCGATCAATGCACCTCTATCAGCTCGCGGGTACCTTCCCATCGTCCTGATGTTTGTTTTGTCGTTGCCGTTATTACCCTAACAAGTACTAATAATAGCTTGATAGTCTTTTCGATCCGTTTCTGCACTACTTCCGATCATGCTACCCTTCCTCTCACTCAACCGTTCTGCCTTCCTTTACTGAGCGTCATGGGACGATCCTCGCCTATCAGTTCATACCACCTGGGAGAATGGCCCTAAATCGCCGCGACATCATTCTTTTTAGCACTGGTGGCTTTATTGCATGGGGCTTGGTTGTTCGCTGGTTTCCAGTTTTGCGATATCTCGGATATGCCCTCGTATTGGGTGTTCTGCTCTCGTGTACCGCGTTGCTGGCGGTGGTGTTTCTCACGATTCGGCCCTTAGATAGCGCAAAACCTCCTAGACCTAGCAGCATTCCCCTCGCATTTCTTTCCCCAAGGCACTGGCCCAGTGAAGTGGAAGGGATTCGCGCGCGCTCGACATACCGCGCAGATTCCCTCTACCCGCAGTCGTTCATTGTGTCGGAGAGTATTGATGAGCTCTTGTCTCTGGTGACAAGGGACTTTATCGCGTCTTGGTATCAGCATATAAGCCCGAATCCGGCTTTTGTTAATGAAGTGGATAGAGTCATTCGAGCCGCTATCGGAAATTTATGTAATCGATTACTTGCAGAGGATCTGATTTCGCTGGTCGTGTCGCGTATCTTTCCGATCCTGACCGCTCATCTGAAGGAATTCGACGTTGCAGAGAGATCTGTGCGGGGACGGAATTTGACGCGCAATGTGACCGAATCTGAGGAGCTGGACCTCGCCATCGCTAAGAAGTATCGTGATGGTCGTCTTCATCCCGCCGCGGCGCTCTCTGTGTCCGATCAGAAACTTGTGGAGCAGGAGTATCTACGGAAGATCACATTGGGGTTACTACCAAAGCTGTTTCCTGAGCACGTCTTGAACAGCCGTATTGTAACCGTTCTGATCCGTGAGATATTAGCTTGCGCTGTTCTCTTTCCTCTGGTATCGGTCCTATCGGACCCAGATACATGGAATCAATTGGTTGAAGCTTACGGAAGAACAACTATCCAAGATCGCAAAACAGTTCAGAAGATACGGGCGGCTCTCGACGAACATGCTTCGCCCGCCCCGAAGTCCAAACGTGGTCACCCATTTCCCAAACTCGCACCGAACGATTCAGAAAGGGCTTTTGAGCGGTTTGTCCGAACCATTCGGCGTTGTAACAATTTATCCGATGCCAGACGTTTCAGAGCGCTGGTCGCAAGTCAACTGAAACGGGAATCTATGGTGGAAGGTCAAGATCCGGTTTACCTCCGGCGCCTGGAAACAGGCAAAAGAGTTTTGGACCAAAAGGTTGATAAACTATCAGCACCGGGAGGAAGCAGTACGCCGTATGCAAAAACTGTTGAGTCTCATTTTCGTCGCAATAGCTCTTCGGGTAAACCCGAGGCGTCCTTGGTCGATGTGATGCATGATGCATCCGGTCTCTCCTACTTCATGGAGTTTATGGATCGGCAGAAGCTCATGTCGCTTGTTCAATTCTGGATCGTCGTTGACGGATTTCGCAACCCACTTGAAGATGATTTTGGTGATGAGACATCGCCGAGCTCCATGACCTGGACCACAGCGGATCGGAATGATATGGCTCTCATCAGTGAAACCTACCTGTCGAAGCCCGAACTCAAAGTCAGTGAGGAAGCACGTCGGACTGTCAAGGCTTTTCTGAGTGCAGGCAAACGGGCTACACCAGAACAGTACCGTAAAGCACGGACGGTCATTCTAAGCACCCAGTCCGCGGTCCTGGAAGAGCTACAAAGTGTGTACTACCCCAAATTCAAACAATCCGACCTGTACTATAAATACCTCGCATCAGATGAAGTTTCCGTTGCCGGATCTCATGCGTCGCCTGCACAAGTCGAGTCACCTGTCAGACGGCCTCTGCCTCCCTTAATGGCTCGTACCTCCTCACATCCTGGGCAAAAGCCGAAGGATCTGCGGAGGGCCGTGGCCTCCTCTAGTGACGTCCGGAGTATGGGCAAGCTCTTTGATGATGAGGAGGAGACGAGACGGTCCATTGATTCCGAGCGGTCAGCGCCATTGTTCGATGATGACTACGATACAGACCCTCTCGCAGCTTCTACACAAAGTCTCGGCACCGACTCTCAAAGTGGCTTCAATGACGCTACCCAAAACCAGGCAATCAAGTCAATGGAGGCTGCTTTGAACGACATCATCACGAGTGACCCCGGAAATGCCAATCTAGGAGATGTGAAGTATATCGATTCTGGATCGCCCGGATCGTTTAGCATTGTTGATCAAGGTCTCAAATCTCCGCGCAGTACAGGAGACTTGGGACGATTGGACAATCGTACGGACGACAATAAAGCCAAACCGAGCATCGCTTCGCTTGGGCTTGTTGACCAGTCATCTCGAATTGGCGTTTTCGATGATGAACTCTTTCCGGATCAGCAAAAGTTTTTGGAGGATGAATATGACGAACCTCCTGAGACAGATGACAAGGACCCTGCGGACGAAGTTCAAGAGGCCGTTCCAGGAGATCTCGGCCTGACCGAGGCAATCGAGGCGCTTAGCGCTGACATTGAGAAGCTCGCTGCTCAAGACGCCGTGATAGATGCTCTGACCCGGAAAGCCGACCTCACGAACAATACTGCGGAGTTAAGGATCCTGCGAAAGTCTAAGGCTAGCATTCAGCGTGAGATTCACCGCAAGGAGATGCAGCGACAACAATATATCATTCAGGAAAGTGACAATAGTTTATATGGCCGCTCGACCGTCCGAATCCAGTCCATTGTAGTGGGCAAAGAGGAAGACGGCCGAGAGTACGCGATGTGTATGTCTATTCTTCCAGTATCCTGCTTTGCCCTTTATTTGCTGTAGTAGCTAACTCAAATCTTTCAGACGTGATTGAAGTGCAAAGAAACGCCGGCGAGCAGATGCCAGCTGCATCCTGGGCCGTTGCTCGCAGGTATAGTGAGTTTCATGAGCTGCATCAAAGGCTACGGATGAGATACCCCTCTGTTCGTCATTTGGAGTTTCCTCGACGTCGCATGGTAATGAAACTGCAAAAAGAGTTTCTCCAGAAGCGTCGATTGGCATTAGAGGCTTACCTACGGAACTTGTTGCTGCTTCCCGAGGTGTGCCGGAGCCGGGACTTGCGAGCTTTCCTGTCACAGCGAGCCATCATCCCTCGCGACGAGACGCCACGCGACGGGGAGACCAAAGATCTAGTGACCCGTATCTACAACTCGGTCGCTGACGGGATGGATGATTTCCTCGGCAATTTCGGTGTACTGGACCAACTATCAGCGGCCGGTCAGAATCTCATATCTGCGGCTACGAATCATCAAGCCAGTCTTGTGCCCAATTCAGGGCTAGCTACCGAGGATGCAGTCACGGCAGCTGAAGCCGAAGCCGAATTAAACGCATTTGAAGACCGCGAGCTGGAGCCATTCATCAAGCCTATTTGTGACCTGTTCCTGGAAGCATTTGAGCTGAACAGAGGCAACAACTGGCTGCGTGGGCGCGCAGTCGTGGTTGTACTCCATCAACTGCTGGGTGGGACGATCGAACGCAAGGTCCGTGAAGGTGCTCGGTCTTTGGTTCAGGACGAATCCCTCCTCCGCTATCTTAGCATGGCCAAGGAGTCTATGTGGCCTGGAGGTGTCTTGCGCGAGAACAAGGTCCGCACGGCATCCGAGCGACTCAAGAGTCGGACTGAAGCTAGCCTGGTGCTGGTGACTCTGATCCCCGATGTAGCAGGCAACGTCGTCGGGCGAGCCAATGCTCAAGGGGCAGCTCGCAGGATCTTTGCTGCACTAAACAACCAGCGCTTGAACTCGCATTTGATATTTACCATTCTGGACGAAGTGGTGTTGGTATTGTTTGGCGGCGCGAAGTGATTTTTCTTTCTTCCTCTCTATCTTTCTCTCTTTTTCTCTTCTTTGCCCATGTATCGTACATATGAGACACTGCATGATGAGATCGCTCTCTCCAATGACACGAGGCGCACGGAGCTATGACCCACCCATCGCATACTACTTTCTAATGAAAGGATGAGAATTTTCTTGTGAATATTTTTAGCCAGTCACCTGAAGAAATCAGACGAACTCGGATCATGCGATTTCGCTTCACCCCTGAATGATGCTTCTCCCTACATGGCAAAAGTAATGACTAATGAGCCCTTCACCGCCAAGCTCCTCTCAGGCTGAGTGATCGAAAGACTCGCAAAATGTCATTCTCATTTGGCAAAGTCTACAGGCAGATCGAGATTCGGTGTTTCCAAAGCAGCTTCAAAGTGGTACTTCATTACCCCGACGCTGCCCTCAAGTGCTTTGGATTACCAAAATCTCCAAAGCTTCGCGCCGTACCCAAACTTGCGCTCGTGTGTATTCAGAGACAAGTCTGACAATTGATGTCTAGTGTAAGCGCCTTGATTTAAGATGTCTTCATTAATGGTTAATAAATGAGTGAATGAGCTCCTGGTTGATACATGACGCATGTAGCAGAGACATGATACAATGTTTCATCTCCAGCGAGCAGGTCGGACCGGTCACAGACGCATTCACCCGCATACACCCACATACACCGAGACACACCAGCATTCGCTTAGAAGCGGTGGGGTAGTGACATGCAAATGGTGAAGAAAAGAAAAGACAAGATTCGAGCACAGCAGATCCATAATATCGAATTACAAAGCAGATTTAAACACCAGCCATCTTTGCTTCTACATCTTGAACCCGCCCATGAAAAGACATGCAGGGAAGCGAGACGCGAGATAGAGGTGCTCTGGCCATTGAAGAATGGAATAGGAGGAGGGATCGAAAGAAGTGAAGAGAGGGGAAGATAGCCAGACCTCGCCATTATGATGGCTAGGATGCATAAGATATCTATGCCTCATCCTTCTTCTTCTTGGACTTCTTGCTGGGTGCTGCGGGTGGGCCGTTCTTGGTCTGATGGACGATGAGGCGTGTCCAGCACTCCTCCTTGTCCCACTCGAAGCCAGCGAGGTAGGGCTTATCCAGTTCATCATCGGCCTAGAGGGAACGGTCAGTAGTGAAATGACTTGAAGGACGCTGGAAAAGAGAGCAGATATGCGTGCCTTCTTCTTGAATTGCTTGTAGATTGCGTCCAGCGCATCCTTGACTGTGACACCCTTGAGGTTACGAGCAGTGACTGACAGACCCAACGGCCATACCAGGTCAATCTTCTTGACCGGTGGGGTCACCAGGTACATCTTGAGAACGTCCTTGTCGTCGATGGTGTTTGGAGACGTGTTGAGCTTCCTGTACCGCATGCATGAGCTTGATTTGATCCGAGCCCCGTTACCGCAGGCGGAGTCACGCTTACCATCCAGTCTTTTGTGTCTCGATGGGCAATGACAACTCAATCTTTTGTGCCTCTACGCTCGAGAGTAATAAGCTTACTGCAGACACTCATTGGTGCAAGCAAAGCAAGGCTAACTTGGATACTTCAAGTAACACATCGGAATAGAGACTTACCAAGATCCTTGATGTTCCAGACACCTTCTGTTTGGGATGTAGTGCGCTTGTGAGACTTCTTTTCTGCCTTATCGGGGGCCTTTTCGTCCTTGGGCGATATTGACAAGCCGGCGATGGCAGAGTCGACCTTGGTGAGTTCGGCAGACATGGTTGCAACTGATGGTGCTGGGATCAGAGAAGCAAAGAGATGAGAATGGTTCTAAGAGAGAACCGACCCTCCTGGATTAGCTTCTTGCCCACATGATCACGGTATAGACTGCAAGGATATTGCAACGACGATGAAAGGACGGTTGATGGAGGGCAAGAGAGGAATGGACAGCTGATAGGACGGGAAGGGGAGAAATGCAGGAACGAAGAAAGCTTACCAGACTGTTGGACAAATTGATGATGGTTACGGATGGAATCCAAAGAGAATCAATGGATGGAAAGGGAGAGAAGGGGAAGAAGAGGAAGAGAGGGAAGGGGAGGGGAGGAAAAGGATGGGAAGATGGGCGGGAGGGGGAAGAGGCAGGTGACCCTGAGTCCTTGAGGGGAGATGAGTGGTTCTACCAAAGGAGGAATGAGGAGATCGAATCATGGATACTTACCTTAATGAGCTCAGCATCATAGTATCTTTTCACACAGAATGGCCTGTACGACTCTACCAGGAAGGTACGTACCTGACTTCCCTACGTAGTTATCTTAGGTACGCCTACATCCTCTCTGGTCATACAGAGTTTGTACAGTACCAAGCATCTACATCCACCAGTCGTTGAGCATTAATCGATGAAGATGAAGAAGAAGATGATGATGATGGTGGTGGTGGTGGTGGACCCACTGTTTGAAAACATACCATGCGTGCATTTTGAGTTGAGTCAATGACCTTTTGAAGCTGGAGCGGGGTCGAAGCCTCTAGATCGAGTCTACTTGCCTAGGGAGGTAGCTAGCTATCAAGGGGACAGGCAAATCTTTCTGCTTCCAGAAAGGTATCGCATGATGAGCTTCGAATGGTGGTTGGCCGATTGCATTCTCGCTAATACTGCGATATGATTTCATCATATCCTTAAGGCACCAACATCAGTTTACCTCGCAATCTACATCGTAGAACTGACTGAGGAGGAAGGGGGAAATGACGGAACAAGGATCGTATGGACGTGATAGCTACCTATGTATAGATGCATATGCATCTAGTTTCTTTAGTCCGTGTCGTGTACCTATACATCCATCAGTTGACCATTAATATTGATATTCCAATATCTAGATAGACGAGATACTTTCTTCTGGAGAAAAATCCGTGGATTTTGATACTCAGTAATAGAATGCCTCCATCTTCTCAGTATTGTCAGTATGATAGGTAGCTTCTCCGGGAGAACCGGATCACACGCGAGCGTGACGTTTCTAAGAGCTCTGGTGGGCGGGATCCACTATCTACTCTTACGTTGACTGTTGATTCTAAGGCTGCACCCCGCATTCCCGCGCTCCACTTGGCGTGTGAGTATGACCTTACCAAAGTACTCCGTTGTCCCACCTACCTCTAGGTCCTCGATCGTCAGTAGTTATTATGCAGCGAGAAGAGTTATTGGATGGACAGCGAGCTATGATTGTAGAAGAAGTGTATCTGCCAAATAATTGCAAGTAGCTAAGTAGATGTTGAGTCTTGACGACACCACTCAAAAATGGTCTTAAACTTAGGACCCTGAAAGTACGAATGAACAAATGCCAATCGAAGGCTCATCCGGGGACAGAATGACCTCACGTGCGGCCGTCGAAGCTCAAATCCACCACTCAACAGCCACTGCAATGCCTCCTTACCTTGTATGAGAGTTGCATGTTTCCATGGGTCGACAGTCCCATTCCGATTTTGAACATCAATGGCTCCTGAGGGTCAAGGTATTCGGGGTAGCCATAACCAAAAATGGATAAGACAACCAATACTCACGTGATGATCTACAGCCAGTCTCCTGATCAGTCATCTTTATTATTGTCTGATAATAGAGAGGTACCTCTAATGAAACTAACAAGCACATTGGGTCAGCTAACACTTCTCCACTAACTCTTAGGAAACAATCTACTAAGGTATCACCATGATTAGTGACTTTAGCGTTGAGGGTGGGTCTCGGTTCTGAGTATGGCCAAGGGTGGTGTGATACCTGTGATATGCAATGTACACACCCGACTTGGTAGAAGATGGAGTCTTCTTAAGACCTGGTGTTTCAGATGTTCTTTTACCTTCTCTCTAATAATTTCGCGGTGACAATGGAAGTCACATTATCATTGTAAACTTTGCGAAAAGTTACTTCAAAACATATGCTACCACTCTAAGGTATATATCACCTTATCAAGGTACAGGGGCCCAGTAATAATTCGTGGCTATGCTCACAAGGGGTGGGCTTCATAGTAAGTAGTCTCTCCCCAGCATCAAACGACTCAAACTGCAGGAGACGAGGCCAAGTGCTGGCAATTATCTACGTCTTTTTTCGGTCTGGTTTTCTTCTCTTCGACTCAAAAGTCAAAAACATCAATTTCTAACCATCATTTAGAGCGATGTCCATCATCTAAAGTTGATGTTTATTCAAATCGGTGTTTTGGGTGTGCTGACAGCAAAGGAAACAACAATGCTTGCCTGAATCTACCTTCAAAGCACCAGCAGAGAATGCAGGGGCTCTCTTTCACCACATGCTTTTCATCTGGAGAAATGCTCTGAAAAAGCCATAACATACCACAGCAAAGGAAAGGAGGAAAGGGTCAACTGAAGAGCATTTGGCGATTACCTGGTACAAACCGCAACTTTGCAAACTCGTCGACTCCACAATGTGAAACCGCTTCCTGACAATGTCTGAAAACGACTCTGTCATCGAGTCACCTCTGAGACGACGGCATTCCTATTCTTATTGATACAGTATGTCATCACTCAAACCAGTCTGGCCTTCTAACGAGCTTATAACTTCTAACTTCTAAAGCTACTTAGGGTCACTTAGTGCTCACCGACCGCCCATCGAGTTGGAGAGCCAAGACTGCGGGGAACTCTAGAGGGAGCTTGGGCTCTCCCCGCAAAATCGGCCGCCGTCATCCATGGCCGAGATTGAAACTATTATCCACGATTGATCCTTCCAAAGCGAATTGTATCCAACTTTCCATTAGCCTGCGCTCCCCTCCCTATAATCGAGTGCAAGTAATTGCTTTTGCCCAGACTTACTCAGAAGAAAAGAGCAGACCGAGGAGGGAGCATTGCACTTGGGATATTACACACAAGTCCCATTCATCTGCTGCCCTTCGGCCCCAACAGCGCCCTCGTCCGGAAATCTCGATGTCGCAGCGACCACAATTGAGGAAGTTGGACAGCAGCCCTTAAAGGATAGATGCGAAACGCAGCCTTCAGGTTGGTTTCAACGTAACAGGAGGCCTAGGCCACAGGCATCGACTTCCACCTGTTCTGTTACGATCGTAATCACTCTCTTAACAAGTGCGACACTACAATTCTACAACCCTCATCAGGTCAAAGGGGTACTGGTGCTCAGAATTATCATAGTAATATTCTAAGTAGCGTGGCTTCCTTTCTTCTTCGTTGTAGATTTTACGCCTGAACCCTCTTTCGACAACGGAAGACTCGATCTGCCGGCAAGTTGATCTACTCTCCTCAGTCATTCTGAGATAGTAGAAAAGGAAACCCCATCCCAGAAATAAAAGCAATGACGAATCGCTCATATGATACATGGGGGAAACGCACGAATAAAACAGAGAGAAAAAGAACATCCAGAGAATTCAGGCCTCAGATTGAAACGCCTAAGACTGCCACCAGAGCCGATCATCATACATCAAGGGCACATGGTTGGCCGTTTACTCATGATAAAGCCAGGCCCGGTTGTACCCTCCCAGATTATCACCATCGAACACGCCAGTTTTGCCTCCCCTCTACCTCTTCCGGGTACCAGGTCTTGGCTTCACTTCCTCTGGCGCTACTGGATGGAGCATCACCTTGTTGGGAAGTTGTTGCGTGTTCGCTGAATATCCTTTACTCCAATCGTAGCTGACGGCATATGCAAAGATGTTGCCATTGCGGTTGAAGGCGGTGCTGGAGATCGTTCCTCCCACAGAAGGGTATCCTTTCAAACGATGCTTGGCATCCTTGTCCCAGAAATGGAAGGTACCATCACTGCCTGCGGTGCTGAAGGTACCGTGGACCGGATGGAAGGAAATGGCATTCACAGAGTAAATGTTGTTGATATCTCGTTGGTTTGGAGGGGTTTCCCGATGACACTTGAAGCTGAAGTTGGAACTAGAGTCCTTGTCCTCAACATATTGAATGGCACAACGTCCTTCGATACTACCGACAGCGAAACCAGTGGCATCCGTAAAGCAGCTGACTACCCGCGTCTGCCACTTGAGTGGTGACTGCATGGTCTTATAGAACTTGGTGGGATTGTCAAGATTGATGATGTTAATGTATCGGTCTGCCGTTCCCACCACTAGCAGCTTGTTCTTGACATCCATGGTGTAGACGCGCTCCTGACACTCCACCGTCGCAATAGGGGTGGATTGCCGCAGGTCCCAGTATTTGACGGTCTTGTCCCATGAACCAGTCACAAGAAGAGAAGAGTTTCCAGCCGGGTTGGGAATCATATGACAGCACCGGATAGGAGCATCGTGGGCAGCGACTTGAACGGGTGTAGTAGCGTTAGCTGCGAGGTCCAGCATGCGTGCAGCTTTGTCGGCGCCAGCTCCGACAACTTTCGTTCCATCCTAGCCAAAAGCACAAAGATTAGCAGGTCAGACAAAGAACACATGACGAGAAGTAGAAACTTTACCGGTGACCAGCAACAATTTAAGACCGGAGCTTCATGCTCGAAAAGAGCTTTACCCTCACTCTGACCCTGTTCGTTGATTTCGTAGATGCGGACCTTCTTGTCCCACGAAGCTACCGCGAGATGTTCGCTTGCGGGAGAAAATCGAAGATCAGAGATGCCATCTTCGGGCGGCGAGTTGAGCGCTACATCTTTGGAGATATCGCCTGTGGTATTTGTTTGACCAGCTGCTGTCGACGTAGCGCCGACGTTCCCGAAGAGCGACATTCGAACGGGGGAGCCTTTTCTCTTCTGTTTTCTTCGGTTGTGGCTTGCGCGGTATGAGGTGAACAACGAATGAACCCAGACTATGAGGCACACGAAGGACAAAGAAAATGAAAGTGGTTTATACCTCCGGTGCAACAGCTTCCTGGTATAGTTAAAACAGACAACCAGGGCCGGACTAGGAGGAAAAGCAGCGTATGAGACAAGTCTTGACGCGGTGTACACGAATCAAGTGCAAGTACCTTCAGGTTGGGACCTGAGACTTAAGGCACTGACGAGAGGTGGGCAAAATCCTCAGGGCACCACACATACCGCCTTCCTATAATATTAAAAACAACCCCAAGTCCGAGAAAATGCAGTCAAACGTCGTTTTGCAAATATTTAGTGACACAATATCTTTTCTGACGGGACAAAAAGGGGCAATGATAGGGCAAGTCAATACTACCGTGCAGACTGCGATTTTATATAATCCCAAGGACAGTCGCGGTAGGTAGATGCCATGGAACACTGTCCTCCGTCCAAACGCATACTGCCTAAACATCTGATGCCTACGGAGTACAATACGCTGGTACTTAATGCCCATAAAACAAGTTGAAGTCAGTATCTGCTCGGCGAAGGGTATTGTCAATAAATCTCAGTAATTGTCATTTCTACTACATCGTATCTCATGCCAGCCGGTCATCTCCAAAACACCACGAGGGAATCGAGAACCAAAACCCCTCCAGCCACCTCGATATCATGTACGACGGTCATTCCAGGCTTTTCAAGCCTCTTCGGGAGTGAAAAATCTCAGAATCCATTGGATAATGAATGAGAGCTCACGATGTTGGGATCGTGACCTGGGCCATGCCATCGACAACCTTCTCAACCGCTTCATCGTTCTTCCCCTCCGTAGTAATATCAGTCGCCTCTGCGCCTCCCTTGGCAGAAGCCTCAACACTAGTTTCAGCTGCCTGTGCCGCTTTCTTCTCCTTCTTCTTCAATTTGCTGGCTTTGTTGGCTGCCTTCTTTGCAGCAGCCTTGGCAGCTTCCTCCTCCTTCTTCTGTCTGTCTGCCTGAGATCCGCCGAACAGCTCACGCCATTCATCGGCCTTCTTCGGGTCAATGCGAGAAAAGAGATACCTGGCCTTGCCAATCTTGTGGCCTGCCTTCAGGGCCACTGGTTTCCAGCCATCTTTGAGTTCATCGAAAGACGGAATGACTCCAAAGGGCGCGTTCAGCTGCTCGAGAATAGACCTGGAGGTAGCAGGAAGGTAAGGAGCGAAGACACTGGAGAGAAGGTGGATCAAGTTGATGACGGTACCGACAACCGCCGCAGCCTTGTCGGGTTCGTTGGCAATGAGGGCGTTGTCAAGTCGGTTGGCCTGGATGAGACCGTTTCCAGCCTCCGCGAGCCTCATCGCTGTGCTAATACCTGCGCGAAGATGCACGCCTTCCATCTCTTCAATGTACTGTCGCAGGAGGCTTGTGATCTCGTCCAAGTTCGGCTGGAAGCTCTCGGGAACGGTGAACTCAGGGATAGTGGAGTTATAAGAAGCTGCGATCAGCTTGACGACACGGTTAACCAGGTTACCCAATTTGGCCAATAATTCGCTGTTATTGCATTCGACGAACGGACGCCACTCGAACTGTGTGTCGCCAGTCTCCGGGCGATTCTTCAAAAGGTAGTACCGCCACACATCTGGGGGCACGCCTGTCTGCTTGGCGTTGTTTCCAAACACGCCGACTCCTCTAGACTTGCTAAACTTGCCTCCCTCGTAGTTCAGGTACTCAGTGGTACTGAGATGGTGCAGCATGGTCCACTTCTCTTTGGTTCCCAGCTCGCACCCAGGGAAAATCACACTGTGAAAGGGCACATTGTCCTTGCCAAGGAACTGATACAGTTCAACCTCCTCCGGGTTGCGCCACCACTTCTCCCAGTCGGGAGTGTAGTTGGCCGTGATCGACGGATAGCCGATGCAGGCCTCGAACCACACGTAGAGAACTTTATTCTCGAATCCAGGGAGGGGAACAGGAACTCCCCATTTGAGATCTCTGGTGATGCCACGGTCCTTTAAGCCTTCTTTCAACCATGCCTTGGTGATGTCCCTAGAATTTTTGGGCCAGTCGCCTTTCTCCATGGCGGGGAGAACCCATTTCTCAATCTCAGGCTGCAGCTTGTCAAGAAGAAGGTGAATATGTTTCGTGGAGCGGCGCACGGGCGTAGCTCCATCGAGCTTACAGCGAGGTTTGATGAGATCAAAAGGATCGAGAAGGTGGCCGCACTTGTCGCACTGATCTCCTCGAGCATCTTCGTAGTGGCACCGCGGGCACTCTCCCTCAACATAGCGGTCCGCTAAAAATGACCCGTGCGCCTCACAGAATGGCTGTTCTGCGGTCTTCTCCGTCAGGTATCCATTCTCGTAGAGCCTCTTGAAAATTGCCTGCGAGATTTCTGTGTGCTGCTGGGTGGGAGTGCGGCCGAAATGGTCGAAACCGATTTCGAACCACTCGTACACCTCCTGGTGGATCTTGTTGTATTTGGCACAGAGCTCCTCCGGCGTCACCTTCTCCTCCAAGGCCTTCGTCTCCGTTGCCGTGCCGTACTCATCTGTTCCACAGATATAGAGAGTCTGTCGTCCGCAAGCTTTGTGATATCTGGGACAAATCCTAGGTGAGCCTCAAACAGCGGAACAAAGAGCGGCGCACAAGACACACCTAGCGAAGACGTCGGCACTGAGAACTGAACCTACAATGTTGCCCAAGTGAGGCACATTATTGACATAAGGCAAAGCACTTGTGATGAGAATGTTTCGCTCGCCCTTCTTGGGCAAAATTGTGGTTTCTGAAGCCATGGTTGTTGGTTACAGAATGGCGGGGTTGTGGAGGGGCAGAAAATGTTTCAAAGTGCGGATGATTCATCGCTCGGAGCCGGATGGTTCCAATCTGCTATCTATAACTAGGCTTTTTGTGTACTCCGTGAAGAGAACATCAACAAGTGTCAACCTGCGACCCATTCTGTCCCGATTGGTGCTCAGAAATAGAGATCTCACTGTCTCTTCGACGCTATCTTCTCTTATTTTCTTCTTTGCCTCTGACCTGTGCCTGGTTTCGCTTATTGTTCCACGCGCAGTCTCATCCCGGTGTTCGATTGGTCATGGAAAAAAATATACTTGACAGTCTCCTCGACCTGGAAGAGGAATTCTACCAAGAGGGCTATAATTTGGGTGCAACCGATGGTGCCCAGGCTGGTTACACTGAAGGAAGCGTATTTGCCGTTGAAAAAGGCTTCGAAAAGTTTGTTGAATTGGGAAGACTATATGGCAAAGCACTCGTCTGGGCCCAGAGACTCGCAGATTCTGACTCCTCCCGGAATTCGTCACAGCAGAGTGATAAAACAGATACCCGCAAGTCTCAGCCATATAATGAGGATGACCTTCTCTTAGAACCATTCGTATGCAAGGAGATGCTGCCTCTTCCCGCCAGTTCACGGCTGGCCAAAAACCTTGAGATTCTACTCGAATTAGTTGACCCAGCGTCGTTGCCTATGGAGAACACGGAAGAAGCTGTCACAGATGTTGATGAGCGTCTTAAGGGCGCTACAATCAAGGCTAAGCTTATCCAGCGAGCGCTTGGAGAACGGGAGGACGCTTCAGACATCCATCCTGACGTCAAGGATGCCCAGGTAGCCGGTGATGGAACAGGGAGCATTGAGGACATTAGCTCACTGAACGTTCGCCGTTAGGTTGCATTATTTTGTTCTCATGCAAGGATTCATCGTTCTTCTCATGTTGCAGCGCTGTGGTGTTTTCTCCAGCAGCACTATGGAGTCCTGTCTCCTAATCGGACTTTCTCCGACCGGATGGCAGCCGACCCCCGGCGATCTACCTGGGCCCTGGCTCTCGGTCTTCAACCCTGGAATGCGAGCCTCATCGGATGTTACCAATGACGATGGCTAAGCATTATGTCTTCGATATAATCAAACATTGCCGTCTCAGAGCAGGCTTTGTGGGCGATCATTACTCCACAGGGCTGTACAGGCCGTCCATTCACCCCCACACTTGAGGACTACACTTGCCGTTTCAATGCACTTCCAACGAAAGCTTTTAAGCTTCAAAGCTGTGTAGCGGTATTTCCCCGGTTTTCTGGGTATTCTGTCATACTAGGTAGCTCTGAGTATTCTTCGATGCTTTCTTCCTCCGCGTGGGGGCGGGGACCGTGTTACTGTGCTATTTTATATATGACGCCAACCCTCGGGGTTGCAGGGAAAGCCCACGAACAAGCAGTTCTCCTCTCGCAGTGATCTTCATCGAACTCCCTTGAGTTACCATGTATTGGGTCACCTTGACGTGTTCTTTCCTTTTTGCCCGGCTGGCTCTCACGCAGACCAGCGTCACAGATCCCATCTCTGAGGACTGCGGCCCTTCGGTTGTGTGCATCAATCATTATGCAAATGTGTTGCCGTACGTCTTTTGACCCCAAAGCCGGTATCAACGCCCAGTATGTCGCACCGCTGGAATTGACTGCTCTTTCAGATATCATTTCTATCGGAACATATCCACTTCTCAGGTTGCCACAAGCTTTGGTGACACGGTAGTAGCAAATGGCACTTCATTACATAACATAAAATCGGCCGACTTCATTGTTTATGACAAGGAAAGGGGCCTAAAGATCCTTGGAACTCAGCCTACATATAAGTATATGTTTGCCGTCTCGGATGCCGTGCATGAGGCTCCGGTCTACGTTGCGGCACAGAACAAGCTCTACTTGTCTCAATTAGCGCCTCCAGCAGGCTATCTCCCGCAGCTTGTCGTCGACTTGAATCAAGATCCGCCTACGCTATCAGAATTTCTCTCCGATCCTCCGGTCTACGCGCCAAATGGGGGCACATTCCACAATGGCAGAGTGATCTGGGGAGCCTCTGGCGGTAACCGGTCGATCGGCGGCACTGAGCAGCGGCCAGGATTGAGAACGCTCGACCCTGAAACTAATAAGACCCTCACTTTGCTCAACAACTACTACGGTTATTACTTCAATACGGTCGACGATCTCGCAGTGCACGGCAAAACGGGCGACATTTGGTTCACAGATCCGCGTATGTCTCCTTGTCTTCTGATTTACTTGCTGCGAAATCATTGGACTGACGCCTTAGCAGAATACTCATGGTTCAATAAGCTCACTGATACACCCCCTCAGCTTCCATCTGCTACATACAGATACAACCCTAAATCTGGCGCCGTTTTTGTCGTTGATGACACTCTCAGTCAGCCCAATGGCATCGCATTCAACCCGGATTACTCAACTGTGTACATCAGCGACACTGGTGCAGTGAGTGGACCGGTCGATCCCAAATTCGGCCACCCGGGAACACCTTTTAATGCCACAGGCCCCAGGTAAGAGCTCGAACTGACAAGGAACTAAAGGTTGGACTGACTAACGGAGTGTACCATGACTATAGAACCATCTATGCTTTTGACGTGAGCAAAGATGGTACCACAGCTTCTAACAAGCGGCCTGTTTATCTGTCTGCTGGATATGTCCCAGACGGTCTCAAGGTTGCTGCCAATGGGTACATCGTGACCGGCAATGGACGAGGCGTTGATGTTCTCGATCCTCATGGCCAGCATCTGTTGACAATACAAACCAATTATACCGTGCAGAACTTCGCGTGGACTGGTCCGAAACTCAAGACACTCTGGTTGATGGGCTCTGGGGGTATTTCTAAAGTTGAATGGGATCTTGCAGGTCAGGACCTAAAGTAGTTTTGGCCCTTTGAGACATCCATTATCGGGAAGAAGAAATGTGCAAATGTCTGCACCTCTTATGTCTCGTGAACTCTGAAGAGCAATTCCATTCCAACTCAAGAAGCATTATTGATTACCTCGCCCACAATAATTGTCCACTCTCCCATAATCACAGTCTAATGAAAGAATCTACTGAAATGGAGAAAGGATTTTCAGAATGCAAGCGTTCTGGTAGAAATCACGTTAAACCTTCTAGCCCACAAAACCAAGTCTCTAGGTACTACGGCTAAGAATTACGTGGTTAGCGTATATCAGCCCCAAAAACTGTAAGCTTCAATATTCTGTAGGTAATTTTAGATAAACACTATAGCTCCAATGACCGAACAGCCATGGCAAATGCGCCTTCCTTTGTCTTGTGTCCACCAATGAAGCCGCTAGCGTGAACAAAGACTGCACCTTCTGGGATCTTAGGCTTACCAGCCTTCTCGGCTTCGGCAGCAAGGCAGCCATCCAGATCCGCATCACGAACACCACGCCAACTTTCTGGTAACGGCTTGCGGGACTCAAAGCTACCCTCATTTACCGAAACGCACTGGACGCGCCACTTGGATCCTTCAGTAGCACTCTCAGGGTAGAGCACATAGTAGACCTGCTCGTCGGGGTTGATGTCCCCGGCGCCTGAGGCTTCCTTCTCGAAATTGTAGAGATGCTCCTTCCAAGGAACACCGCCCTGTGGAAGAATGATAATACGGCCGGAGGGGTGAACTTCGCGACGGGACCGGTAGGCAGCGCCAACGGTCGCCCGAGCTGGAAGCCACGAAGTAAAGGCATGGTGCAACTTGCGAGTGAAGACGTGTCCCATAAATGTGCTTGCCCTGCTGAAGAGACTATCCTCATCCTGGGGCTCTCCAGGTGGGCAAGTAGGGTCGGGATTGTTCATGTCGTTGACCACAGAAGTGATTGTGATACCACCGTCCCTGAAACGTTTCTCAACGTTGGCCGATGCCAGAGCCGCGGGGTCGTAGACTGGGACACCGTTGTCGTTGGCATCAACTGCTTCGATGAAATCCGTGTAAAGCTTCTCATAAAGCAAGGTAACATCCTCATGATCCAGCGGGAGTGAAGTATGTTGAGCAATGATAGCCCTGCCGAAGTGCATGTACACTAAGCCTGCGGAAGAAAGCCTGGTGTTGTGGTTTGGGAAGGTGGTTGAAAAGGTACGCTGATGATGATCATAGCGGTTGCTGGCTGGGTTATACTCTCCACCAACATCGACAACGGTGTGACATGTGGCCAATTGAGCCGGATCTCTGGTACGAATGAGAGGAGAGGAGGCATATGTCGACAGCTGGCGAAGAAGATAGACTGCCAGAGCCTCGTCGGCGTGGAAATGACCGCTGATGGAAAATCAGTCTCTGGGAGAATACCATCATCGGAGGAGCGTCAAAGAATACTTATGAGTTCCGATCAAAGGAGGGGAGGTCTTCAGTTTCTTCGCAACGGTTTCGTCGGCCATTTTGAACAGCTGTCGCAATCGTAGCATTCAACAACAAAGTGCGGATACTACCAGCAATGAACGATAAAGATACTTGACGCAGAGCTATCTATGATCCCTCTCTTATCTGTAACAGTTACCGTAACAGGACAGCTATTAGGGCTATTATCAAAGGGCTCCCCGCGACATGTGAGTGTGGAGAACTCAGTAATCACTAAACCTGAAATGGCAAGCAACTTCCCCAAAGATGTACCTTATGTTTGTATACTCCGTACGGACCAGACCATTTCGAGGTATAGCGCCAGGCATCAATACCGAAGCGGTATTGGAGGGTAAACAAGTGTCGCATGAGATCAAAAGGTACGAACGAGTACATGAATTGAGACGAGCCATTGCCGATGATCTTACCTCTCATAGATTCAGCAGATTGATTGGAGATAACTGAATGACCTCATCCATCTTTAAGTACACTTCTCTTTTTTGCAGTATACCTTTTGACCGCCACTACCTACATCATGGCTCCTATGATTTTGTCCACCGCCTCTATCTGTGCCAAAGTGCCGCTAGCTTCTTAATTAGCCCTTGGGATTTCGCCTGTATCCAACCAAACAGCGCAGAACAGACAGTCCTCTTGGATTGGAAAAAAAAATTCTGCATCTTCACTGCTTATGTTGTTATTTTCATTATTATTATATATTTTTTCTGGTTCCTTCTTTCCATAGATATTGTGAGAACTTGCTGTTGTCGTTGCAAGCTCAACACGTTATCATTGCCATACTTGTGCAGTGCCACGTGAAAAGACATCATCCTGTCCCGCTTGGTAGATAAGATTGAATTATCCTACAGAACTAGGACCAAAGGGGGAGAGAGGGTAGGAAAAAGTTTCATCTCTTCCACCTATCTATCTATCCAGACTTTGGTTCGGGTTCAAGCTTGATGTCTACTTGTTAAAAGGCCAGGTCTCCTATCGCTCGCCAGATTCAAAGGTCCCTACTCCGTACCGTGTCAACGTTCGCGTCCGTTCTTCCTCCCGCGTCCTCCTTTCTTGGGCAGATTTCCTGCCCCGTACTATTGCTTGATGTGGCTTTTTCGGATCCTCTCGTCGGCCCTCTTCCTGACCGTCACTGTTTCCTCCATCCCACTGGCTTTCGATGTGGGTGGGAAGACGTGCGGTTTGGCCTTTTCTCTATCCCTGGCGACTTTTTACTTCATTTTTTCCCTCCTGAGGCTCACCACCCCCGAGCGATCATGGTTCCGGTCTTCAGTGATCGTCCTTATCCGCTCCTCGCAGTGGATTATCATACCGATACTTCTGATATGGTCCCTGAATCGCTTTTCGATTGATACCGACAACACGAGTAGTTGGGTGGAACGCACATTCAGCGGCAAGAGAGCCCAGGACTCATCCGTCCAGGAGTGGCTTTTCGGACCCGATGGACTCATCGAGACCGTGACTATCGGTAACTGGTATAAGCTTCTCACATGGTCAACGCCTGTTTTTCAGCTTGTCGAAGGGTTCTGCAGCTTGTTGGTCATACAAGCGGCAGGGCAGATCACCCGTTGGCTCGTTAACCGCGGCGGACGAAGTGATAGCTGGATGGTATGAATTTTATTCCCGCCTATTCTTTAGGTCCCTTGGAGTGGAAGCAGATGAATGGATGCTAATTTGCACTTGCAGATTGCCCTTCTAGTACTGTCCGCCTCTATCATATCGAGCTCTGTGTACTTTCTTTGGCGCGTTCTTCAGTTTCCGGAGATATCGAATGTCGATGCCGCTTTGATCGGTGTATCGATTACATGTGCTGTGATTCTGTGCGCCTGGGGTATTGGCAGTGGTCGTGGCAACCCAGTGGAAAGTTCGCTCCTATTCGCCTACGTCGTATTGTGCATCTATCAGATCTTTACCGACTACCAGCCATCGTACCCAGTTGAGCAGGGCTCTTCGCCCACTCAGACCAGCGACTTCCCGCCCCTTCCACCTATCATCATGGCATCCTACTCCACACTCATGCATGCTTTGTCTTCGTTGCCTTCTATCATTCATGCAGCTTTCAACGTGATTACTGCCGTCTTCAGCGCTGTAACTCCCTCCGTCCTAATTTCGCTCGCATACCGTATCTTCGTTCTGTATGCATCCACTCGAATAATCCCTGCTGTTCGGGAATCTGGGGCACGTGCGCTTTCTCAAGAGGCTTCGTTGGACGATACTGATGCTGCGGGTCAATTCTTGGGTTTTCTGAGCTACTTTTCCCCATCGATCCTCATCGCTGTTTATACAAGTCTTCTAATGCAGCACTTTGCCACAACGTCGCAAGCGATGGGTGGCAGCGGCCAGTGGTGGAGCATTCAAGGAGGTGGAGGCGGAAACCTGTGGAGGTGGGTCAACCTCGCCTGCACCCTGGCTTTATACGCTGTCGAGCTATGGCTGGGTGAAAACAACGACCTAGATACTGGATTAGCCGGGCACTGGAAAACGGACTGAAGTCTCGGGGGTGAGACTTGGCTGGAGTTTCGTGAATTTTGTCGCATTTCGATGCGAACTGGAACTTCAAGGACGTCCTATCATTGGGGAACAGTCAGCTCAGCCACTTCAAATGCGTGGGCATCCGGCCCACTGTTTCGACCGCATTCCGTGTACCCCAATATGGAGACTTGCACTGTACATTTGGCGCACGAGTCTTCCGGAATTTCGACCCAAAGAAAATTGCAAGGTTCTGGAATAGGAGCTCGATACCTTGCAATTAGGCCAAGGACCGCACAATGCATCTCGCAAGTCCACGTTTTTCACTCTGACTACGCTCTGGCAGCTCGAAAGCGCACAGTTAGTCGGCAAGTCCGATGGTCGTGGCTATTTTGTTCATGGTAGCTGAGGAATCCCTGCGAAGGAATGGCCGTCGTGCAGCGGGGATACATGCGTTCTCATGCCTGAGTTTCCGGGGAGGATACGCAAGTCCGTTGTGGGGGGCTTGGCGACCATCCTCGAGATACAGGCTTATCTTATTACTAGATTCTGGGCCCGTCTCGCCTTCTGCTGTCTATGATCTTCAGATGCTGAAGAGCGCCGAAAAGCTCCCAGCATCCCTCCGTTTTGCTCCCTTACGATTTATCCTGTTGGTCGCCATGCTCTATACCCCTTGTTCATTCCTCTACTGTGGCCTTTTTTCCTTCTCTGGCTTTCCTCTACAACTTTCCGGTAGCATGACATGTACTGCTCGTGTGATCGGCGCCAGGATGAGACGTGGCCATTCTTTGTACTTTGAGTTTGACTGGATTTCTATACCCCATCATGGTCTGGCGGCATGTCAAACGAAGTTTCGTGTTATTCGTTCCCTGGTGGCCGTTGGTCTTGTCATCTTTGCTTCTTCCCCTTTTTTCTTCCTGAATCTAGACTTATACTAGGCCAGTATACAATAGTCCTTGATTTGCTCTGAGCAGTCATGTCCTACCCGCACCCGGCACATATGGTACAGCTCTCTGGTAGAACCTGAATGGGCACCAGCCATGTGAAGTGTACGAACCCGAT